CTGGCAAGCGAAAGATATCGAAAAAGAACTGCGACTCGGCGCCGCCTCAGGCACCAGCACCTTCCAACTGAGAGCACATAAAACACGCCGAAGCACAGCAAACAAAGCAAAAGCCGCTCTGAACCAAGACGAGGCCCCAAGCAGCCTTGCCTGCCACACGCCTTCCCACCGAGAGCGCATACCTGTCTGCCATTGCCTGGCGCTCTGGCTCTGAAAACAGGCTGGACATGCCCAAGCCCGTCGCACTACAGCAATGCAAATATGCCACTCGACCTTCAACATCCGCACCCACCCCAGCCTGCCCATGAGCGTCCATGGCCTTCTCGTGGACAACCTGCAGTCGGCCAGCGCACAGGTAACCCTCAAGGCCATTAAGCTTCATCTGATCTTTGGACAGCTACGACATGCTGCGACGTACCGCGTGCACACATTACCCGAAGCAGCACTGCATCCTTTCCTCTCACGAAGGCTGAGACTCCCTGCGGGTAGCTGCTGGTGCTGCCATCCCCGGAAGCCTCCCTCCAGCACGGCCACGCGCCTTTCCATGAACAGCCGGTCGCATCAGGTTGAGGACTCCGAGGAGGAAAGACGCCGAAAGTCGGCACAAGAAGCTACGATACGATGCTGCAACAAGCAACTGATTCTTTCCGCAACCGTGCCGAGGCCATCCGAGGCCCCAGCTGCATCGGAGGCGCCTGCTGGCGGTACCAGTTCGCACACCTGCCGTGACAGCCCCCGGCTACCGGTTCCTTTCATTCCGGTATGCCCCGGTCCCCCGCAGCCCATCGTAGCCCGCAGCAGACTTGGGATCCCACTGAGGGCCACGGTGCAGCGAGTACTGGCAATGAAAAACCTCAGCAGTCCCCCGGGGTTCTGAGTGGATGCAGTCCCTGTCAGACTTGCCGCAGGAGCCATGCTGAGCTGCCGGCCACCAGCTTCTCCTTCCCGAACTTCCTCACCAGCTCCGGCACCTCACTGACTCACAGACAGCATAACCGATCCACAGGAGCAGTCCGCACCCACTCCCTCTCTTGGCGGCCCCGCCCGGTTCAAAAGAGGTGCCTGGAAACTGGTGGGCTCGTGCACCGCGCCCTGGAACCGTCGAGAGGCGGGACACACGGACTCCCTCCAGACACAAATCCGCGAGTCTCGCTGAAAAGGCCTGGATGTAGCCGCAGGCACGATCATGCCCGCGCACGTCAATCAGCAAGCACCTCGGTGTTCTTTCAAAGTCCTCGTCGCAGTTGCACCCGGGTCGTGAGAGGCGGGCTTTCCTTGTTTGAGGAGCTCAC